GGCCCCCCCCCCCCCCCCCCTTTGGATACACAATGGGGTCAGGTGTGGGCGCTGGGCGGCGACGCTCGCCCATCCTCCGGCAGCGCGGCCCTCAGATTCAGCCGGGAGCTGGAGTGGCGCGGGAGTTGGGGCAGGGGCCGCAGCGAGACCACGGCCACGGTGATGTTGTCCCCCGGCGTGCCGGAGTGCAGCACCGCCCGCTGCCGCAGCAGCGTCTGCTTCACCTGTGAGCATGCGAGCGGGGGGTGATGGGTGTGGTGGTGCCAGAGGGCAGCCGTGGAAAGTAGGAGCACTCCAGAGATCCACATGCATCTCTCATCTGCCAGCGCCCACGTCCAGGGACTGCATCTTCATCCTTCCTTCCTGCTCGCACGCTTCCCATGCAGACAAGCTGGCACCCGCATGGGAGGCCCCCCGGGGAACAAGCCCGCGGTTCACAACCTCCCCCCCCCAACACACACCAAACCTCCCGCCCCTCCTTAACAAAAACTCATCCAGGGTCTCTCACCAGCCAGTCCGCACAGGCCTGGGGGTCATTGTGGAAAGCGCGGAGCGCGCGCCGCGCGTCGGACACGACGCTGGACTCCGGGGAGTAGTAGTCCCAGAGGCCGTCGGAGCCGACCACCAGGAACTCGTCGCGGCCGTCCAGCGCGCGCACCGTCACCTCGGCGTCGCCCACCAGCGGGCCGCGCGGGCGCCCCGCCTCGTCGCGCCACTTCAGGGGTGAGCCCAGGTCCCAGTCGCCGATGGAGCGGCAGACGTTGATGTCGGAGGCGAGGATGAAGTCGGCCGACACCGCCACGCCCGCGTCGGCGAAGCGCGCGCGCTCCCCGGGCACGTCCGGGTTGTGGCAGGTGTTCAGCGCCTCCCCCGCGCCGCGAACGCTGAGCATGCCCTTGCAGTCGCCCACGTTGGCGGTGTACAGCACGCCGTCGGACAGCACATGGGCCAGGAGCGTGGTGCCCCCGGTGCTCACCGCCCCTGCGGCATACAGCCCGTGCACGTGCTCGTCCAGCGCGCGCACGGCGGAGGAGAGCGCGGCGGCCAGGTCGCGCGCGGCGGCCTGCGCCGCGACGAACGCGCGGGGCAGCTCGTCCCTCACCGCCGCGGCGACGTGGTGCGCATGGTGCCCGTCTAGCACGGCCACCACGGTGCAGCGCGGGCGGCCCGCCACGGCCGTGGAGAAGAGGATGTGGCGGTCGTCGTTGGAGGCGCGGCCACCGGCGTCGCACGACACGCCGCAGCGCAGCTGGCGCAGCTGCGTTGTGTGGGGAAGGGGGGTTAACAAGTGAGAAGGGGTAAAGGAGCTACAGGGACGTATGAATTACCATCATGGAAGGAAGGGGAAAGGTGAATGGGTGGAGCGGCATTAGAGCAGAGGCCAGGGAGTGTGGTGTCTCCTTGACAAGGGGAGGCGAGGCAGGGAGAGGCTACAGGGCCTGCAGGCCCACAAGGTGGCCCTGACCCCTCACCCTTCCCAAGCCCGTCGCCACCAGGATCTATAGGAAACACCATATTAACAATGAAATGGGTGCTTCCACGCCTGGAGCACCTCAGGTCGTGCACGGAGGTCCCTCCTCCCACCCCCGCACCTCAACATCCCCTCCGAACAGCTGCTGGACGGGGTTGGGCAGGAGGCCATGCTCGGAAGCAGGGTCGGGGGTCGGGCGGCAACAACTGCCGTTCAGGATGCTGCTGGGCGAACTCACGGCGAATGGCGAGTCCTCGCGATTAACGTCTGGCAGGGAAAGGCCAGAGACCATCCGGCGGGCGTCTAACACCGGGTGACCAGGGGGCGGGCGGGGCCACGATGCATTGTTTTGTAAATCAGCGGTAGAGGTAGCGGGGTTCTATTGGCAGAGGGTGTGGATGGGCGCGCCCCTCCTTCCGACTGGAACCTTACGCGCATATCCCTCTGCCGAAGATGCAGGGAACGAGAGGGAGGAAACGTGGAAAGGGTGGTCAAGGGGCGCACCGGTTCGAGGGGGGTCCGGGTCTGCCATGCCAGCCTGATCGGGGAGGCTCATGACCGAGACTACCCACAATACCCGTTCATGATATTCTCTCGTGCTCCGCACATCGGGACCTGACTCGCTGGGCAGTCCCTGCGGAACAGGGTTCTGCACAAAAATAGCCCGCAAGCGACGCCCAGTCATTACGACAGAGCCGAGGCTACCACAAAATGCGTGAAATCGTCCATCTTCAAGTGGGTAGGGAGTAAATGGGTCAAGCCCTCGAATTAAAGTGCGGAATGCCGAACGTCGCCTGTCCCAGAGGGTTCAGACCCCAACGACGTTCACCGAGTCGATCCGACACTCCGTACCCTCCCCACCACAATGGCAGGTTGGCCAGTGCGGTAACCAGATCGGTGCCAAGTTCTGGGAGGTAAGAGTGGTATAGGGGACGCTATGGCTGTTCTCTCGTGGGACCAGGCTGTGGGTCAGATCTCCGCCTTGGGTTCCGGATCCTATCCTCGATCCATCTCCCCCCGACAGGTGGTCTGCGATGAGCACGGCGTCGATCCCACCGGAACGGTACGATGAGTACACGGGCCACCGAAGGTTTCGAGACAGAGAATTGATGCTTGGGAAAGACTGAACCTTTCACCTGGTCTCACCTTGCTCTTCCAATGCCGACCTCCCTTCCCCCCGCGACAGTATGCCGGTGAGAGCGATCTCCAGCTGGAGCGCATCAATGTGTATTTCAATGAAGCCACTGGGGGACGCTATGTCCCACGCGCCGTCCTCCTCGACCTGGTAAGCATCTTGACCCTGGCTGAGGAGTTCAGGGTTGCAGTTTGGTCCACGCAGGGAAGTGGGACAACAACATGCTTGGGTGGATGCCCTGCAAACTTGCCCCTTGGTGGCCCTGCGTCGCGGCCGAACATGGGTCCTTCACCCCCCTCCAACGCACAGGAGCCCGGCACGATGGATGCCGTGCGAGCTGGGCCCTTCGGCCAGGTCTTCCGCCCCGACAACTTTGTGTTTGGGCAGTCTGGCGCCGGCAACAACTGGGCCAAGGGCCACTACACCGAGGGCGCCGAGCTGATCGACTCCGTGCTGGACGTCGTGCGCAAGGAGGCCGAGGGCTGCGACTGCCTGCAGGGTGCGTTCATGGTGGTGGTGTGGGAGAGGGCTCCATGCCCCTGCATACCAGGAGTATGTGTGACATGTGGGAGCTCTGTGATGTCAGTCCCCCACCACATCCACCACCATAGTTTGTATTACATCCGTTGCTTCCCCCCACCCATGCATCCTCCCTCTCCCTTCCCCACCCACTCTCAGGCTTCCAGCTGTGCCACTCCCTGGGTGGCGGCACCGGCTCCGGCATGGGCACCCTGCTGATCAGCAAGATCAGGGAGGAGTACCCCGACCGCATGATGGCGACCTTCTCAGTGGTCCCCTCCCCCAAGGTCTCCGACACGGTGGTAGAGCCCTACAACGCCACGCTGTCGGTGCACCAGCTGGTGGAGAATGCGGACGAGTGCATGATCCTGGACAACGAGGCGCTGTACGACATCTGCTTCCGCACCCTGAAACTGACCACCCCCTCCTTTGGCGACCTGAACCACCTCATCTCCGCCGTCATGTCGGGCATCACCTGCTGCCTGCGCTTCCCTGGCCAGCTGAACGCCGACCTGCGTAAGCTGGCGGTCAACCTGGTGCCCTTCCCCCGCCTCCACTTCTTCATGGTGGGCTTCGCGCCCCTCACCTCCCGCGGCAGCCAGCAGTACCGCGCACTGAGCGTGCCGGAGCTGACGCAGCAGATGTGGGACGCCAAGAACATGATGTGCGCCGCCGACCCGAGGCACGGGCGCTACCTCACCGCCTCGGCCCTCTTCCGCGGCCGCATGTCCTCCAAGGTGGGAGGGGCCGGTTTGGGGAGGGGTGCACATGATCTTGAGCCAAGAGACCAGGGCGTGTGATGGTGCACCCAGGCAAGCCCTGCTCAACCTGCCGATTGGTCGGTGCAAGCCATGCGCGGCGCATCCAGCCCTGGGGACTCATCCTGCCCTTGTCCACCACATACACACACCCTTTCCAAACCAGCAGTCATGCGCCTGGTCACGAATGCGCTCGGTGTCATGACCCAGCCCTCAACTCGACCTGATGGCCGGGCCTTGAGCGATATTCCACCACCCATCCCATGCCCACCCCCTTCACCATCCCACTCCCAACCTTCCCCATCGCCGCCACACCATTGCAGGAGGTGGATGAGCAGATGCTGAACGTGCAGAACAAGAACAGCAGCTACTTTGTGGAGTGGATCCCCAACAACGTCAAGTCCTCCATCTGCGACATCCCGCCCAAGGGCCTGCGCATGTCTGGCACCTTCATCGGCAACTCCACGGCGGTCCAGGAGATGTTCAAGCGCGTCAGCGAGCAGTTCACCGCCATGTTCCGGCGCAAGGCCTTCCTGCACTGGTACACGGGCGAGGGCATGGATGAGATGGAGTTCACCGAGGCCGAGTCCAATATGAACGACCTGGTCTCCGAGTACCAGCAGTACCAGGTCAGTGTGTGTGAGGGGGGAGGGGTCTGGGGCGCACCCGAGTGCAGTTCCTGCCACGCCTCGTTGCGTGCAGGGAGGGATGATCCACTCTGGTTGAATGGCACCCTCGCACTTCACTCCAAACCAACACCCAACACACGGCCCCCATGTCCCCTCGCAGGACGCGTCGGCTGAGGAGGAGGGTGAGTTTGACGACGAGGCATAGGCGACGCCTCCTCGCCGCCTGCACCTTGGCCCGTGCTGTATCGCTCCTGCACGCCCCCCTCCTCGCCCCCCCCACCCCCCCACGTGCATTGACCCACTCGAGGCTGTGACAGGCGTGCCCGAGCAGGAAGGTGCAGGGAACCGCGCGGGGCGGTGGGAACAAGTGGCGAGCGAGGGTCGCTGGAACGCCTGCGCATGCAGGACGAGACGCAGGCAGGAGTGGTCGGGTCGGCAGGTTGGAAAGGGGTGGCTGTCCCCTGCGGCCTGGGCGACGAGGAGGGTGAGCCTGTCCACCAGCGACAGGAGGGGCATCGACAGCATGCACACCCTCCGTTGCAGCCCATTCCTGGGCGCACCGGACGCCAGCGCCTGCACTCTCACGGCCCCAGCTCGCCATCAGATGGGGTTCACCAAGGGCGTGTGGGGCTGGGGCGGCGACTGGCCCGTCCCCGCACGCAGCCTCTCCAGCACCGCCAGCATGTCGGGCCGGGCTGCGGGGTCCATGGCCGTGCAGTCCGCCACCAGGTCCTGTGGGTGTGAAGGGGGTTCGGGAGGGGTGGGAGGGGGGCACACGTGCGTGTGCAGAGGGATGCCAGGGCGTGGGGGTGCGGTGTCAAGGCGCGCGCCCCAGCGCATGCAGCGAGGCGTGCACGAGCCGACGGGCAGGAGGGCGGTGGGCGTGGCTGCCGAGCGGCTGCCGCAGGGAATGGCGCTGAGGACCGCGGTGCAGACTGCTGGCAGGTGGTGGGCGGGGCCGGGCATGCGACCAGGGGGATGCATGGCGCTGCACATTCATCAGCGGCACCCGGCCTCCAGCCTCAGGCCCGGAAGGAGTGTTCGAGGTCGCTGGCAGCGATCTGCATGCCCGCCTCCACGAGCTCAACCCCGTCGGCGGTGGAATGCCTGGCGAGAGTTCGGCGCGAGCAGCCACCAGCCTCCCCCCCTCTCCCCCCTCCCCCCCGGGGACAGCCTGCCTACCCAGAGCAGGGCCGCGGCGGGGTCCAGCTCCGCGCGACCCCGGCCCGGTCCCGGCAGGCGCATGGCCTCCGGGTCCAGCATCCACCGCGTCTGGATCTGGTACCCGTCCAGCCCCTGGTGCGGCCTGCGCCGCGCCAGCGCCTCCCACACCGCCACGCCAAAGGAGTAGACGTCGGCCTTGAGCGCGGCGGCGCCGGCCGCCGGCGGGCCCTGCTCCAGTAGCTCCGGCGCGGCGTAGGCGGCGGTGCCGATGACGTGCCGCTGCCCGGCCTCGGGCGCGCCCACCAGCACCGACATGCCAAAGTCCGCGAGCTTGGGCACGCCTCCGGGGCCCAGCAGCACGTTGCTGGGAAGGGGGTGGGGGAGTGGGTGGATGCATGCGCGGGGGGAGGGAGGGTCGTGTATGTGTGGGGGGAGAGGGGGTCGTGTGGGGAGCGCGACCCAGGCTCGTTCCCCGCCAGGGGGCGCGGGGTCGTGGTCGAGGAGGGAGGCTGCGCGGGGCGGCGCCGCGGTCCCCCTCCCCCACCCGCCGGCGAGCGCCGGACCCCAGCCGGCCGTCTGCCCAGCCGGCCGTCTGCCCAGCCGGCCCCGCCCCCCTCGCCTGCAGTCAGGTCACCCGTGGCTCCGCCACCTGCACCACCCACCACCCTCCCCCCTCGCACCACCTGAGCTTGATGTCGCGGTGCTGCAGGGGGGGGGTGCGTGTGTGCAGGTGCAGCAGCCCGCGCGCCATGCCACGCACCAAGGGCAGCAGGCGCGCCGCGTCCGGCGCCGCGCAGCGAGAGGCCGCCGGGCCGCTCGCGGCCCCGTCTGCGGCCTCCCCGCTGCCGGTCGCACCCGCCCCGCCGCTCCCACCCCCCGCCCCGCCGCTCCCACCCCCCGCCCCGCCCCCGCTGGCGTGCACCAGGCCCGCCAGCGTGCCGCGCGCGCACAGCTCCATGACCAGGTACACCGACCCGGCGTGCACGCACCAGCCGCGCAGCGCGACCACGTTGTCGTGCCCCGGCGTGGTGGCGTGGATGTGGGCGTCCAGCTCGCCGCCCGCCGCGGCCACGCGCTTGACCGCCACCGGGGTCTCGGCCAGCCGCCCCGCGTACACCGCGCCCTGGGACCCCTCGCCCAGCAGGCGCCCGAAGCGCAGGTCCTCGTACCGCACCAGGTTGGCCGGGTCCGCGCCCAGCGACCGCCGCGGCGACAGCGAGGCGCCCGAGGCGCGGCGGCCGAGCGCGCCGGGCTGCGCGGAGCCGCCGCGCACCAGGCGCGCGCCGCCGCCGGGCGGCAGCGGCGGCA